TCAATATTGCAAAAAACAGTGGGCAAAGCTGGGTTAAGCCCAGAAGGCTAAAGAGCAGAAGCCATCCAGAACACCCTTTCCCATCACCTCAACTTCCCCAGCTGAGCACCGCCGGCCGCCGAAGGTAAAATGCACCTGAATTGGGACCCCCACCCCCACCCCGGTCTTTCCTCCTTCTGGTGACCCCATCCACTCTCCTGCCTCAAGTCGCCCTGAGTTCCCAAACGCTTCCTCTTCTTTCCAGGCGAGCCCAGAAGGAGGATCCGACGTTCCCTGCGTTTTGCAGCTGCACGCTTTTCCCAAACCCAATTGCCCTCTTAATGCTGCGGCGGCAGAAAAAGACGGCGATATTCTTACAGGAAAGCGCCCTCCCCAGAATTGCCATTCTGCCCAGCCCTGGGGTACTTCTATGGCTTTTCACACCCGACTCAATCTCCTTTTGATGCACTGGCACAAATGCTCCAGAGATCTAATTACAAAGGATTTATTCAGTCCCCACGACCTGCTGGACCAGAAAGCAAGCGCACAGAGAGGCAACTCTCTGCAATTTGAGAATTAGGCGTGTGTCACCCGTCCAGCCTGCTGCAATTATAGTTTCCAATCCACTTTGAAACTTCAGCCCATGGCACCAGGGCTTATATGATTAATTTCCTGGCTTAAGGTGGTAGAATAGCTTAACTGGTCATCAGACTTTGACTCACAAGAAATGATGTTTTGTATACCGCTTGGAGTTTTTCAGATTTGGTGGAAGCGGCTGATAAATGCATAAATAAAGCCACTTGGCTGGGGAGCTACATAAGCCTCTGGCAAGACTTGCAGAAGATCTTAAAGTTTTCCATGAAAAATTGGAGGGTGTTTGTTTTGGGTGGAGACTGGCTTGCTGAATATATTATATAACTTTAATTAAAAGTTTTAAAAACCATAACAAGAACTACGACTACTACTACTAAATCAGAAGAGAAAAATTGAAGAAAGAAAGAAAGAACAGGAAAAAGTAAAAGTGTAATAGAATAAGAAAATAGAAAAGAAGAACAAGATAGAAAGAAGAACAGAAAGACATAAAGGATAGAAAGATGTATTCTTCTCTATAGCTTGCTGAAAATTTTGGAAAAGGGAAGCTGAATTGGGGAAAACGATGCATCGGGAATGGGGTCTCCGGGGTCAGGAAAACAAAATGATAAAGACTTTTTAAAAAGACAGGAAGCCTTCTGTGGACTTTTTGGGGAAAGAAAAGTGAATTGATGATGTATGGACTGGGGGATTAAAAAGGATTAAAGAGGAAGGGAGGAAATTCAGATGTCAATTCCTCGATAGAAAGAAGGGAGGAAGTCATAATTCTACATTTTCTTCCCTTTTCCCCTTTTTTCTTTATGCTGGTCTATGACCGTAATAAAGATTCGATTCGATTCTTTTTCTTCTTCTTTTCTTTCTTTCTTTTTTTTTATACTTTTACTGGATTGAAAAATGCTGATCATTAAAAAAAGAAGGGTCTCCACATCCCTGGCTGGACAGATGTTCCCATTTTTTCCTGGGAAAAGCAGCAGGCAGTCGAGAGGGCTCCTTCGTCCACGTTTCGGCTTTTCTCCCCAAATTTACCGAGCCCTCCCCCTGATGCAAATGCAGCAAAAAGCAGGCAGAGGAACTTTCAGCTCTGGATTAAAATACAGAGAAGTGTAGGAGGCTGATTCATTTTAATTTACATGCCCCTCTTGCCAAGTGGGACACATAACGCTGAGTAGGCTCCGAAACAAAGGAAACTCTATTAAGCTTTCATGGAATAATACCGTCATAAGAAAGGTGAATAGATGCAATATGGGATGAGCGCCAGATTGGTGGAGCCGGAAAAGATGCTGGATGAGGAACTAGAAGATGATGAATTGCTTTGATCTATAACCACAGCACTGGGTGATGAAGGATCCTCTTGGGGTCAGCCTTACTAGGTAGACCCCGAATGGAAACACGACCAGTTGAGCGAATTTTACTTTATTGTAAGGCTACATTAACAGAATCTTGCAAGTCTGAAAGTACAATTCTCCCACTGTCTCCTTTACAGCCCGAGAAACTAGGGAGGGTCCCTTCTGAGCCTCTTTATGCATCCATTATACAGCTGCAGGCTAAGCCATCTCTTATCTGATTGTTTCCTTACCAGCGTCTCTTCGCCCTGTTTCTCAAGTCTTTTCACGTACCATTACACTTGGGCTCTAGTTTTGTCCCAGAAAAAGGAAATTAAATTTGTGGCTCTGATGCATGACTGGGTCTAAATTCCTCCAGGATGAAAGCACCACCTTGTTATCTACTGATCGCTGCAGTTGGATCGCCTATCCCTGCAGCTTCTGGCTTCTTTGTCTCTCTCACCCCAAAAGTGTTGCAGCCAGGGAGGAGTGAAAACATTTGGAAGCAGGCTCTAATTCTTGGGAGTTAAAGTTTGGAAAACGACAGGACAAAACCACACCTCCCTTCCAAGAGTTAGAGATGACTTTCGTGAAGTCGAGAAAGATTTAAAATTGTTCGGTGGCCATCTTTTTTTCAGGCGCCCAAACTTGGGGAAGCAAGCTGCTTTCCTGTGCAAAGGTCCTGTTTCTCTCTCCTTGTTTTCCCACGATCCAGCTAAAAAAAATAAGTCGATCTGCTCTCGTATAGCTTTTGGGGCTGGCCGATCTCCGGTTTGAAGGAAAACCACCGGGTCAGCAAGTTAATTTGCTGCAGAGAGCAACTCCAGATTGCTTTTGCAACTGATTGGCTCCAGCTTCTAGTTGCAAACCCAGTTTGGGGACTCAAGGCTCTCGTTTGTTCTTGCTACCCTCCCGGCCTTGGATGACGGCCAGGTTTAATTTGGGCTACAAGAACTGCGCATGAATCAATCAAGAGAATTCAATTGCAGCACAAAAAATTCATCTTTTTTTTTTTCCTGCAAGCAAGTTCCTCCAAGGTTGATGTGCCCGGGCTGCTATGCAGACGCGTGAGGCTTTTGGGGTGCTGTTCCTCATCCTTCAAGGGATGACCGGGGCTCGAGGTCAGTGGCAAAGCATCTCCAGGGCGGGGGGGTGCCGTAGGAAGTGTGGGGGGGGGGACCTGGAATGAAAAGGGGGCAGGGCTTTGTGGTGCTGGGAAGCGGGGTCTAAATTTACCCATTCCCCCCCTTTTTTTTGGTCGACAGCCAGCCAACCTTGTATCCCTAAATTTTTTGGCAAAAATGCAATGGTGTGTGTCTGCAACGCGACCTACTGCGACACGCTGGACCCGGTCTCCCTCCCCGATGTTGGCAACTATCTGACATATACAACCAGCCTGGCCGGCCAACGCTTGGAGCGCAGCGAAGGGAAAATAAGTCCCAAGCGGGGAGTTCTGAGTAAGCCTCCGTTGATCGGGAAGGAGGGAGGGTCTCCTCTGATAACCTTTTTCTCATCCACTACTCCATTTGCTCCATTTCTTGCATCTCAGGCGGCCTTTCTTACACCTACAATCCCGACGTCCAGTATCAACGCATCAAAGGTTTTGGCGGAGCGAACACCGATGCTGCCGCCGTTAACATCATGAAGTTGTCTTCTGCAGCCCAAAACCACCTGCTCCGCTCTTACTTCTCTGAAGAAGGTGAGAGCCTGGGAAATGGGGTCATGTTGAAAGCTAGCAACTCAGGGGAAGGTCGTATCTTGAGGCCCTAGCTTTCTTAAGGCGAGGATTAAAAGCCAGCAGGGCTAGGATGCCTTTGAAAGCAGGACAGCCATCTCTTTGAAGTGGAACAAGTAGAAAATTTCCTTCCTTCCTTCCTTCCTTCCTTCCTTCCTTCCTTCCTTCCTTCCTTTCTTTCTTTCTTTCTTTCTTTCTTTCTTTCTCTCTCTCTCTCTCTCTCTCTCTCTCTCTCTCTCTCTCTCTCTCTCTCTCTCTCTCTCTCTCTCTCTCTCTCTCTCTCTCTCTCTCTCTCTCTCTCTCTCTCTCTCTCTCTCTCTCTCTCTCTCTCTCTCTCTCTCTCTCTCTCTCTCTCTCTCTCTCTCTCTCTCTCTCTCTCTCTCTCTCTCTCTCTCTCTCTCTCTCTCTCTCTCTCTCTCTCTCTCTCTCTCTCTCTCTCTCTCTCTCTCTCTCTCTCTCTCTCTCTCTCTCTCTCTCTCTCTCTCTCTCTCTCTCTCTCTCTCTCTCTCTCTCTCTTTCTTTCTTCTTTCCCTCCCTCTCTTCCTTTCTCTGCCTGTCTTTCTTTCTTTCTTTCTTTCTTTCTTTCTCTCTCTCTCTCTCTCTCTCTTTCTTTCTTCTTTCCCTCCCTCTCTTCCTTTC